CTTTACGTGACACTGACACTTTAAAGACATCCTCAGGGCAGTCGATTTCATCCTCTTCTTCCATCTGCAATTTCTTGGAACTTACACATCATGAGGGGCATTGGCATCCTTTTACTAAACAAGCTCCTTAGATTCATCATGCTTTTCCTCTTCTTGTCTTTTAAAAAAATCCACTCACCTATGGCTTACATATAAACATCCCTAAATTTGTGTATGTGTGTGTGTCTGTCTGTGCACATGCACACATAAGCACACAAATGCTCCCATGTCTCTCTGTGTGTGTTTGTGTGCATGTTAAGGTTGATCTTAGATATTGTTTCTCAAGTACCATTGACCCTGTTTTATCAAGACAGGGTCTCTTGCTGGCCTGGAACTCACCAAGTAATCTAGATTGGATGGTAAGCAAACTCCAGTTTGAGGAGAGGGGTGTGCCACAAGCCTGACATTTTATGTGTGTCCTGGCAGTCAAATTTATGTTTCTATTCTCGGGAAGCAAGTGTTTCATTGACTGAGCCACCTTATGCCTTCACTGACTCTTTCACTTTCGTCTCTGCTATATCGTATTATTGTCACAGTCATTTCTGCATGCGCATGTCTTCTATTTTCTTTATCTCAGTTCTCCCTGTGTCACCAGTGGAGCCTAGGGATTCACTAAGGACTAGCGACATGAGGAAACACCAGCAGAAGGCAGTATTCCACAGGGACTTACCAGTGGGGATCAGTACGTCAGAAGTCTCTGGGTCCAGTTATTGTCATGTGGCTCTTAGAGAACAGTTAGGCCTTGGGGTGCATGTCACTGATGTGGGGTTCAGTGAAGTCAGGTTGATCTTCAGTGCCCTCACCTCTTTTTTTTTTAAATTTATTTATTTATTAAGGATTTCTGCCTCGTCCCCACAACCGCTTCCCATTTCCCTCCCCCTCCCCCGATCAAGTCCCCCCCCCCTCATCTGCTCGAAGAGCAATCAGGGTTCCCTGACCTGTGGGAAGCCCAAGGACTGCCCACCTCTATCCAGGTCTCGTAAGGTGAGCATTCAAACTGCCTAGGCTCCCACAAAGCCAGTACGTGCAGTAGGATCAAAAACCCACTGCAATTGTTCTTGAATTCTCAGTATTCCTCATTGTCCGCTATGTTCAGCTAGTCCGGATTTATCCCATGCTTTTTCAGACCTAGGCCAGCTGGCCTTGGTGAGATCCCAATAGAACATCCCCATTGTCTTAGTGTGTGGGTGCACCCCTCGTGGTCCTGAGTTCCGCTCTTAACCACTGAGCCATCTCTCCAGCAGTGCCCTCACCTCTTAAGGTGGTCGCAGAACCGTGTATCTGAGTTGGGATTTTATTATCCTCACTAGTCGGTCAGCTCCACCAGGCTGAGGACATATGCACTATAGTGTCGTGGACCGGCCTCAACAAAACCACCTCTTATTAGGGTAGGGACATGGGAATTTAGAAATGTAAGTAAAGAACACAGAGGTGTGTGAAGAATAACAGAATAATACCGGGAGGGCGTTCCAGTGATAACTGAAATAGCTCGCGTTTATTTTTCCATAGCTTCTATAATCAGTGTAAATGGGGGGAGAAGGTAACAAAAGACTTTATTAACACGATACAAAGGACAAATCAAACAGTCAATGGCTTTTACACTTTGAGATATCGAATCATTAGCATTTAGTAGCGTTGTCTAGGTAGTGAAGTTGCTCTAGATCAGGTCTGCTGAAGGCAGTCCCTCCCCAGGTGACTTCATAGTTATAAAAGAAGGAGCAGAACTACATTTGCATATCCTGACCACCTGTCAGGAGGGCAGGGAACCTACTTGAATGAGCTATTTTAGTGTTAAAGAATCAAGCAATTATTTCTGAGCTGGGATGTGCAACTATGCTTGTCAGTCATTTTGAGTGACCTCCAAACTCTCTGACTGTCAGACTAAGTGGAAATGGGCCCACATTTTTGGGCCTCCACACTGTAGCTTAAGAATGTTACTAGCTACAGAAAGTATCCACCAGAAGCCCTTAAAGCAGTATCCTCCGGGCGATGGTGGTACACACCTTTAATCCCAGCACTCAGGAGGCAGAGGCAGGCGGATCTCTGTGTGTTCGAGACCAGCCTGGTCTACAGAGCTAGTTCCAGGACAGGCTCCAAAGCCACAGAGAAACCCTGTCTCGAAAAAAAAAAAAAAAGCAGCATCCTCAACAGTTTCTGCTAAGTGTTGTCAATAAAGGAAGCACCTCCAAGAAAGCCCCTAGAGGCAAAGTGGGATTAATCAGGTATAACAGCAAGTACTCATCACTGTGGGGTCAGAAGAATGAAGTGTTATACTCTGGGTCTCTGATGTCAGGTACCCAGACTCTCTCCCGGACTCAGATTTCCTTCTTGGTTCCCATTTCCAATGGACGAGAGGGAGAGCAGCAGACAGCTCTGGCACTCCTGGTGCTGCTCTTCCACATCCCATGCCACTTGTCAACCTGTTCCCAGTCTGATCTCTATGGCAAGGGCATCATGGGAGGACAGAGGATACCGTTCTCTTAGTGAGCACAAGTGTTCTTGCAAATGTCCACTGCATGTTCTACAGACTGTGGCACCCGTGCAGCCTGGATGCCGAGACTGGCGGCAGGGGAGGGAGTGTGTGGGGATTGAGACACCACAGAGGCTTCTTTTCAGGAGGAAGAACAGCAACCTTTATTTTTCCCTGAGCTAAAGCCTTTTATACCTTTACACAGTTGGCCTGAAACCTGCTGAACAGCCAGAGGTCAAGATCAGGGCATCTTGTACTGGGAACACTTCTGCAGAAAACCACTGGCCAGAAAGAACACAAACATCCTTGTCAATTACAAGGAAGTTTAGCTGTTGGTCATGGGGAGTGAGGGCTGCCAGATCACAATAGACACCTCTCTGCCCAATCAATGATTGTTTTAGGCCTCTCTCCATTGCAGATACACCCTGTTACTGCTTACTATGTTACAGGTATTATCTGTTACAACATTGAACCCTTAGCCTCAATATCAATGGCTGCAACATTTTTGTCCGAGTCTAAAAGGTCCTCTGTGCTGTAACATGTTTCAGTTGGGTGACATTAGATGCAAGGCCAAATCACAGGTGTGAATCTTTGCATATCCAACAGTTGTCTCCCACAAAGGCCTCCAGCCTGTTCATCTTGGGAACCAAGTACAAATGTGATGGGTACCAGAGGCAAACCTGTGAGCAGTCTGTTAGATATGGCTGCTGATGGGCTGGCTGGCCTGGCTTGTGAAGCCTCAGAGGGAAGTGAAGGCTCTATTGGGACTGTTTGTGCAGTTGGTGGCTCTGGTCACCTGGGACTGAAGGATCAGCTGTGATGAACAAGAGATCACCATCATGACACTGAAATCCTTGCTTGACTGAGACAATTAATACTGATGAGCTGGGCCTGAGAAGTTAGCTGTTATTAAGAAGAAGCCACTGCCACTGAGGTGAACTCTTGTGGGATGTATTTCCACAGGGTCAGCACACAGAGGCTGTGGTCCAGAGGAATTTCAGACTGGTCGCTATAAGGCATGAGATGGATCTTGGCGGGTGGGTTGATTCCAAGGAGCTCTACGGTGGGTGAGAGACAAACACACCATGCAGGCTGGGCTTACATGGGGAGTTTTATTGGAAGAGGAGAGGGAAGGGGCAGAGAAGGGGACAGAAAGGAGGCAGAGACCAGTTTCTGGGGATGAATGGTGAAAGAGAGGGAAAGAGGGTAGGAGGAAGAAAGAGAGAAAGATGCAAAGAAAGGCAGGGAGAGAGAGAGAGAGAGAGAGAGAGAGAGAGAGAGAGAGAGCGCTGTGGGAGAGAGGAAGAGAAAGAAGAGGAAGGAGTAGGCAGAGGTCCTCCTTTTTTTTTTTAAAGGGATGGGATATTACCTATCATGCATGCAGGGGTGAAGCACTCTGCCAGTCCCCCGCAAGGGGCGGGACCATCACTGATGTCAACATCAGCTGCTGAGTGAAGCTGTTTTGTGCTTAGGAAACAAGCTACACTTGCTGTGGAAGGCAGGGGATGCCTAGGCTTTTTGGAGTTTAGATCATCAGTGGGTCCCAGACAGCGGACATTGCTGACTGTAACTGTGCCCTGGTTCTTCCCTCTTGAAATGAGGAAGTATGCAATTATAATTTCTCTGGGATTCCTGCAAATGACTCTGACTGGTAGGTAGGCTGATGGGTTTCTGAATGAGGCAGATAAATCTTTGCTCCTGGTACTTCTTTAGTATACTCCTGGCTGTCTGTGAGATGGGCTGAGGACCTGGAGCCTCATCTCTGCCTCCGTCTCTGTCTCCCTCTTTGTGACTAGATCACACAGGGCTGAAGAAGCAGTACCCATCACATGGCATTTGATCGGTGGTCTTAGTAAATGGTATTTCTGGTGCCTTATAGCTTGTGTGGTTATCAAATACTAAAGGAAGAAATCAGAAGATGTCAGGGGACGGAGTCATAGGTTGTTAAGAAATTTTACTATTCCATTCTTTGCCTGTAACAGACTAGACCACACTAGCTGTTCCCTGATGACAGACAGGATATACCCATACAATGGACTAGGGAATGAGAATGGAGAAAAGGCAACCCTAACCTAAGATTTCACTATCTTTCCTCTTTCATTTCATACATATTGAACAAATTGATTCTAAGATTCCTCCAAAGTCACTCAACTCAGCTGCTTTTTCAAGTACTGGACTGAAATAGACAAAATCAAAATCACCAAAACCTGAAGAATGGCCCCAATATCACATTGGATGTTTTTCTTGCAAGGGTTTTGGCCGACTTATTATCACAGAGACTTCTCATTAGCAGAATCTAAAAGTAACAGGATATTACAGGTTTCTGAGTAGTTGTGTGGTGGGAGCTCCTTCTGCTCCTTCAGCCAATAGCCACTGAGATACCAGCCCATTGGGGCGTGGTCTCTCTCTCTTTAAAAATGAGCGGCCGTCCTCTGCTCCCTCTCTTGCTTCTGGCTCTGCTTCCGGCTACTAAGCTCCTTTCCTGATCACACAGAGGGCCATTGTCTGGGACGGTGATCTGTAAGTATTTTTCCCCTTTAAATAACTAACCATTCTACTAATCATAATTCCGAACTGGTGTGGGATTGTTTGTGACTTATGCCTTCACAGTTGACCACCTCAAATCTAGCCAGGGTCTCAGGTCAGACATTGATAAAGTGGACATTTCTGTCAGCTTGATAGTCCTTGACTGTGGTTGTTTACTGCCAATCACCCATGACCTTATGAAGTTTAAAGACTCTAAAATAAAAGCTTGTCAATCCTTATTCTCAATTAATGACCAAATGATGTTAAGACTCATCTGTACTGTCTGTATGGAGGACAGGTGTCTTGGGTCCAGGCGGTTATCACTGGACTCAACAGTGAGTCTCCTGCTCAGTGTAAACCTTTGGGTTCAGTTTTATGGAGAATCAAAAATGCCTTTTGTGTATTTATTAAATTGTCATGTGCTGCTTGAGCACACTGAGAAGCTGCCTCTGGAGATGGGATTTGGCCTTCCGCTTGAGATCTAAGCATGTTTTGTTTCTAAATATTCTTCAAGGGCTGATTTCTTGGGTTGATCCATCCCCCACCCCCGCTGCCAACTCTGTGTCAGGGAAAAAGGAGAACAAAACAGCAAAAGATCAGAGGCGTCGTGACTATTTTTTATCAACTGAAACAAAGCTCCTTGTCTATCAACTGCTTGCATAGCTGGGATAGATTCCTCTGTGTGGTATAACGGCTGACTTGTGTTCTCTGTAGGGTTACCTGGAAACTTAGCAAGCCCCACTAGTGTAACAGTAGGTAATATTAATTTATTACGTATGAAGTTTACTCGACTTTCTTTTAATAAGGTGAAGTTAGTAAAAGCATTATTTTCCAAGCCAAACACCTGTCTTGACATTGGTTGTACTAACTTGCAAAAGATTATCACAGTAAGTCCTGCTGATTTCTTGTTAGTTAATGTCATTAAGTCACAAAAGGTGGCTGGATGTTTTTCCAGAGTAGAAAACAAAGCTTGAAATCTTGGCTGCTTCTTGTTCCCAGAAGACATTTTGAGGAGAAACAATGACAAGGGATGGGGCAGGTATCCAAACAGGACCAATATGGAAAATGGGAGGTCCCAGGGGCCCCATAAAATACCCAGATCAGCTTCTATTTGGCTGACATCCGACCTTAGGCTCCTCCCATCCCAATGGATAAAAGCTGTTGTTTTCTCTTTCTTAGAAGCTTGACATTGTCTTTACCCATCATTCAGTTTTTTGTGACAGGGAAGGAACTTCACAATCCCCTAGATGCCTACCCAGCACCCCTGTTACACCCACTCTTGGTTGTCCCAAGCTCAGCCTCCCTCCTGACTAGAAGCTGGTAGACAGTGTGATGGCCTGTGTTGCCAGGTTTTCATGAGCAGTTCCCACTGGTGCATACCCACAGTATCAAGCTGCTGCTGAGTCTAGGGCTGGGTCTGTTCCATTGGGAAGCCACCCCGCACCATCACTGTCATTTCTGCAGTCCTTGCCATACCTCTGTATCCACACTGGGGTTACTACTCTCTCCTGTCTGTTTTTCTCTGCTTCCCTCTCCAGGAGTCATTCAGATTCTATCATGATTCTAGACAATCCAACAGCTATCAAAGTACCCACAAAAAGATTCTGGGTTCATTATTCTTAAGACCAGCCTTGGATGTGGGGGTTAACTGACAACCTCTTTGACAAGTTTCACCAGGAAGAGTAGCAGAAGTGGAAGTCAAAACTGAAAGACAAACCCACTCTAATAGACATGCAAAACAGACAAAGAAGTACAAAGAATGAGATACCACCACTACCCAGGACCCATCCCAATCGACCACCTCCAACCTGAGAAAGCAATCCAGCTTTCAAATAGTAAAGGTTCAAGCAAACTTAGAGTAGACAAAGATCTACTCTAAAAAAGTTTTTATTGGACTCAAGGTTGCTACACAGTGCAGACAGTAGAGAATCATAAGCCATGTGCTCAATGAGCCTGAGTACCCTGTTTGTAGACTAAAAGAAAGAGGACTTGGACTATTGACAGTCTAATCCAGTCATAGCCTTGCCACCAGTTACAGTGGTTCCCCCATTAAACCCTTTCTGGTCAAGGGGGAAATGGTTTTTTTAAGCTTGTGATTACAAAATGTCTGATTCTAACTATTCAAAGAACCTGGGCTGGGGAGTTGCATTCAGGAGCCAGGGCAATCAGGTATACTCTTAAGAATTAATATTGTGTGTATATCTGTGCAATTGTCTGTGCAGAGGAGACTATCCTTTGAGATAGGGTCACTCTGAACATGAGCCTTCCATTTTGGCTAGCCTGGCCAGTGAACTCCTGGCAGATGCCTGCCTCTGCCTCTCAATGCTGGGATTACAGGCGTATGTGGACATTTCTGGCTTTTATGCCTCTGCTGGAGATTCGAACACAGGTCCTCATGCTTACACAGCACATATTCCTATCAACTGAGCCATCTCCCTATTCCCTAGGTGGAATCTTTGGCAGAGTTGTCTAAGTGCCCCCAGAATGATTGACACCTGGTGCTGTTAAGAGCCTAACAGCTACTAGTTAGGGAATCAAATTCTCTCATCCAGAGTTCTTGCTTATGCTGATGACCAGTTGCTTCTGTGTGCTGTGGCCAGCAGACCTACCCCCAGGAAAGCTGATTCTCCTGTAGACCTAATAAAGAATAATCCCCTTCATAAGAGAATGCACTTACGCATCCTAAATGACCATCCCTAGATACCGTAGCTTCCAGACTTCACTGCTAAGTGGACCTACTTTTCTGAGTTCTAACTTAAAACATTAACTGCTCCTTTCCCCCTTTCCAGCTCTTCTTTGAATGCTGATGAAATCCTAAGAAGGGCAAGCTTACTCGGGTGCCTAGATAGACATTAGCAGAAGACCAGAGGACCACTGGGATGGGCCCCTCTTGATAATTGTCAGCTTTCCATATCACCAACAATATCCTGAGTAACACAGAAAATGAAGCAAGGCAATTACCCCATCCCTGAGATGAAAGGCTGAAGTATTATGACTCCTTATTACACAATAATTTATTATTTATTTATCCTTTAGAGGAAGTTGGAAGCAGTGAGTCTTCTGTGTTTCTGTCTGTATATAGTGTAGACAAAATTCCCACCAGAAGCTTGGGTGGTAGCACACACCCTTAATTGTAGTACTCAGGAGGCAGCGACAAGCCGATCTCTGTGAGATCCAGGCCCGTTTGCTCTACAGAGAGCATTCCTGGTCATCCAGGGCTAATAGGGAGACTCTGTACACATCATCAATGGTTGGTTATTCCGTGTGAAGTTTTAATCTACATGTCACTCAGACAGCTCAGTATGGCTACACCTCAGAGCAGGCAGACAGCCTCATGGTGCAGATGAATGAGAAAACTTGCCCAGAAATCCTGCACCATCTCAACCAGCTTCCAGATGGTTCCTCTGCTGTGGGTAAGAGTCTGGGAGCTCGCCCAGGAGAACCAGGACCTTGCCCAGATGAATACCATCCTGTCTCTGGTGTGGTGTCTCAGCTTGGTTACTCTGCCTGACCAGCCCCGTGATGTACTGGAGGCATCTGCCCCATGTCTGCTTGCCTTTTTCTGACTTCAGATACCTGCCTTGGCTTCTGTTTTAGTCATTATGATTATTTTTTAGTCAGTTATTTTCAATGGGTCAATGAGCTGGGCTCCAGGTGTAGCATGACAGTTAAAGGGGCAGAATAATAACAAATATAAATACTATTAAAGCAATGTGAACACTTAGGTCAACTAAGCAGAGATAACTAATGGCTAAGATATTTCTTTGGGACAATTAATATGATTTCTTTGGGGGGGGAGGCTTGTGTGTGTTTTTCAGCTTTAAAAAGATTTTTTTTTTATTTACTCTCTTGGCTGTAAGAACTTAGATTTAAAATATAGGCACTCACAAGTGGAATTTCTTTAGGAAGATTTAAAGTCTTGTTTTTTTTTTAAATCAATTTCAATACTAGATTTTTAAATCCACATTATCCTAAATAATGAGATAATTATTCTTATAAAGACAGTGAAAATACTTGAATCTTTTAACTATGAAAATTAGTTTTGAGTAAAGTAAGGGTTCTTGCATAAACCATTAAGATGAAAAACATGATTAATAAAAGAACATTATGTCCTCATTTGTATCCTCATTAAAACCAAGGTTAGCTTCATTTTACCACTTTAGAAATACAAGTAAAATATTAAGTATCAGATAATTTTAAAATATTTATGAAAGGGTTTGGGAAACAAAGCAGGAGAAGTGTTTTGTTCCTTGGGGCATTCAGCTGTCAGCGCAGCTGACAGTGAGTGTCATCCGGTATTTCTGAAGTCCACACAGACCTGTCCTCACACAGAGCTGACATACGCTTGATATGGGGAGTGGGAATCGGGAGGCTCCATTCCAGTTGGCACAGAGGATTTCTGTGTTCATTAGGCTTCATGAGGCTTTAAAGCAGAATGCAGTTTGGGATCTTTGAGCTGCTTTGCTTTTGAGCCCGTGACAGTTTGGAAGAGAACAGTACCCATATGTTTTAATATTTGATACCCAATTGGTGGGACTATTTGGAAAGGACTAGGAGGTGTGGCCTTGGTGGAGGAGGAGCTTTGATGTTTCAAACCCACACAATTTTCAACTAGTTCTCTCTACCTAGTGTTTGAGGATCAAGATACAAGCTCTCAGCTCCTGTTCCAGAGCCATGCTTGTCAGCTTGTTGCCATGCTTCCTACCATGATGGTCATGGATTCTAATCTTCAAGAATAATGAGTCCCAAATTAAGTGCTTTATTTTATTATTTTATTTTTATTTATTTTATTATTGCCTTGGTCATGGTGTCCTATAGCAATGGAAAAGTAACTAAGACTGAGCCCCCATTCCCTCTGTAGTGAATCTTAATTATTTAACAAGTGTTTTACCTATTTTGTCTTATACATAAGAAAAAACAGATGAATAACCATCCCAAATATACTATGATATAACATAGCAAGATGATAGCCTTGAAGCTGGTATTTTAAATAG